TTTCAGTTAAATGTATTTCGTCTTTCGTAGTACCTAACATTTGATTCATCTTATTTATCGGCTTAAATATAGGGCAGAATATCTATTGTTTTTTGAACACTTTAAATAAACTACTAGTTAAACCTGGAACATATGGTAAGATTAGGCCTTCCTTTCTAATTATTTTCATAACTAGGTTTTAAAGTACTAACTTGATCAATTATTATAGTATTAGTGAATTTCTTCTTTTTTTTTTCCCCCATTATTATGGGAATGACATTAACATGTAGTTTGTTGACCAGAATTCCACTACTGGCTATGGCTATAAAACCTAATTTATCAAACTTGAGCTACAACAAAAGGCTCAATGATTTGGATTTGTAGTATTTTAAATAACTATATTTATGTGCTTAAATTTGTAAGGGGTTAGGATAACCTGCCTATTGAGGAAGTCCAAGATTTGATTTGATGTTTTTTGTTTCTTTTGCTGGGTGGATCTGTAACCAAATGCCTAATTATATGAATTATTCAAGACTTATACTGACAGTCTTTTAAAATTATCTTTAGGTCTTAAAGATTTAAGGATTGGAAATAATATGTATGTATATTTTCTATTGGTCATGATTTTTGAATGATTGTTTTGAAAGTGAAAATATATATTAATAGTAAAATTGCAAGGAGTAATGTAAATATTTTTCATATTTGGTTTATATACTATATAACATTGATTCTCATTCCAGTATTAGCTCTGCATTAAGATTTCTAATATGAAAATGATGTGGTCCAACAATAATTTCAGCCAATTTGTTAAAGATGCACCTTGTAATTAGTAATGATTGATATTTTTTGTTAAGGATACTTCAGCGATGACTGATGGTAAGAACTTCGATGTTGAGGCATATCGCCAACCTTGGGAAAGCGATGAACACTGGGTTATGAGACGAGAATTTCTTTCGACCCATTCTGATAAATTACCCTTGTCTAGACTTCTGTGTTTGGCTCAGGTGTTTGTAAATGTTGAGCTACTGGGCTGCAGGTAACTAGTTGTATATTTCTATTTACAAAAGTTTTTGGTTTGCTATAAACAAATGTTGAATTTTGGCAGATGATATAAAAATAAGTTGTCAGAAAGTATTCATGGTGGTTAAGTATTTTGACAAATTGTCTGTTAGAGACAGTTTTCAAAATATGGGCCAGTTTTCAGTTCTTCCCATTTTCTAAAAATTATAAATATGATAAGAAATATTTTTCACTGTATAGTACCACAAGTTATAGAAGGAAACTAAACAGAAAACTACATTACGTATGAGCTGTAGTTCTCTTTCATTGGATGTCTTGTATGAATAAATGAAACCGATGTTTCTAACTACATTGATCTAAATATTTCATGCTGTTGATTAAGTAAAAGTTTTAAGTGCAGTGTTTGTGCTTATTCATTTACTGTGAGGTGAATTTTGCCACTGGATTGTGCTCTATTTTGAAACATTATTTTTTTATTATTAATTTCAACTCTTTATTACATAAACAGTGTTTTCTATATTTTTCTTTCTTCTGTTATCCTCTTGTTGATTTTAATTATTTAAAATATTTTTTGGATAAGTTCATCTATGGTATACTTAGGTGGAAGTAATCCCCCCTTTATGAAATTTTTTTTTTATAATACAGGTCTAATTATAATGGATGTTTTGAAAAGATATATTGTAAAGTAATAATGAGTTCAGCTAAAGCTAACTGAGTCTGTGTTAAGAAATAGTGGTCTGGATGTAAGTGTGTAAAACACAGTAAAAAAAACTTTTTATAACACAAGCTCAATGTGTATACTAGCTTTGGACATTTGACAGTCACTTTTACTAGAGAGTTAGATTGATCAGACTATCATTATTCCCCAAAGATTCATTCCAGGCTGACTGACTCGCTTGAAATGCTATTCCAGGCTGAAACTCATGCCAGTTTAAAAAATAGTAACATCATCACCAGACTTCTTCAGAATGACTAGCATTACCCACGTGACTGGTTATTCCTAATTAAAAGTAAGGGAGTTGGTACTTGACATATCAACTAACTTACCATTGGAGAATGCAGCTGTCTACTTCCATACACAAAGTGTAGCTTTACAAATATATCTCCCATGGGCAAACCAGTTGTTATCTCAAACAAATGACAGAGAACAAAAGTGGCTATAGTAAACATAAATTAACAACTTTCTTGATTATGTGTTACGTACAGTTTTCATGTATATGGATGTGAATTGCTATATCTAAGTTAGTGTTATAATTATGATGATCTTGTATGTACATGGACTGGTTAATCAGTTGTCTGTAGTTATCTGATAATATTTTATTTTTTCTATCATTTCTTGGATTTATCAACAGCATTTGAGGTGACATATAATGCAACCATGGACATGATAATCTACCCACATTTCATTCTACTCAGTCTCAGACTTAAAAAGTTGGTGATACAACATAGTTACAAAACAACTATGACAGTGATTCATTACTGTCTCAGAAGTCAGTTTTCTGCTTTCCCTCTTCTCGCATTATGTAAATCCACACTTAAATCGGGACAAAATGGTACAATTAGGATGTCACATTGACCATTTCTTCCTAGATTCACGTTCACCACCAGAAGTGAAATATATTTACAATTCCCTTTGGTTCTGTTTAATTTGCGGAAGTGGGTGGGAGGCATTTTTTTTTCATCCATTCTAACTATGATGTCATTTTTTTTCTGGCTACCATATGTAATATATAGCCGTATCAGAGAAAGGAAGGGGTAAGTCAAACATAACTTACAATTTTTATTAATATGGTTGATTTAAGACACTTGAGTGTTTACTTTCTTACAAATGCAAGCTCTTGTGTTTAGAAAGTGAGGAAAGATTTTTCTGTGGTTTCGTGTGAAACTAAAATAACCTAAAACTGATTTTGGCATGTAAATTGTAGTTCAGCATTTGATTTTTTGGAGGTCCACAATTCATAATATTCATATTCATAATAATTAATCAGTTTTGTGACTTATAAAATGATAACCTATTATTTAGCATATCACTAGTTCTTACCTGTCATATTAGTTCTGAATATACATGTCATTTACTTACTTTAATCTGTATGATGTAGGAATACTGTAATTACTTTGCATAACATTAATGAAAACAATTTTACAGTTTAGAAAAAAATGGGAAGCCCTAAAATGATGTAATTTTTCAGCTAGTAACAAAAGCTCAAGTGGTAAGATTGTCTATTGTGTGGCAAAGTAAAAAAAAAAAATTTTTTTTATTTGAGTCATAATATTTTTCTTGTAAAAAGTGAAAATTTCTAAAGACTAACACGTTTTTTTTAACCCTTCTAGTTTAGATTTTACAGGTCTCCCAGAAGCCCTATTTTTATGAGTCTTTCCCCCTAATTTTTCCAAAAAATAAAACTTATTAAATTGCTTCTTTTATTCTATAAGTCTATTTGTAACCTGCTGCTGCATTAGTTTCACTTCTGTTAAAAAAAATGAAGAAAGCTATTGGTGATGTCAGCGTAAAGGAAGAGAAATGGTGTAACATGATATGATACTCTAAGGCTCATTTCACACATTGAGGAAAATAATGTATGCTCCTTTTGCTCACAGCCCCCAGTGGCACAGCGGTATGTCTGTGGACTTACAACGCTAGAAACTGGGTTTCCTATACCCGTGGTGGGCAGAGCACAGATATCCCATTGTATAGCTTTGTGCATAACTACAAACAAACGTTTTTGCTCACTGTAACATGATGAAGTAGTCTACTAGATAATTTACATGAAATCATTATGAATACCATCACTAAATTATAATATGATGCCAACAGTCATAAGTACCTTGTTGAGGTGAAAACAAAATGTCACCCAAAAAGTATACATGTTTAAATAATTATGAATGAGCCACAAAATCTGTAAGCCTACTTCATCAATATTTTATATCTGCTTTTTTCTGAAAGGACACCATACACTGAAGTTGTTGGAGGAGGTCTGTCTTTACTGTTCATGCTTCTACATATTTTGTCATATGTTATTTTCATGTTGTGTTGAAAGAGGCACCCATACTTGTGCAGGTGTATCCACCTGTAATTAGTTTTAATATCATCATTGGTAATCTCTAGCTAAATATCTTGGGACAGTGGATAGAGCTGGAAGCATCAGTAATAGTTAGGAGGGGGATGCTGGGAAATAAAGGTGTGGGAAGAATAAGCTCTTAGTATGTATTGCATTATTAAGGCTCAGATTGATATTCTCATTAATTCAATTTATTTTTAGAGTAGAATAAATAACTTGAGTTCAGTCGCATGAATTAATTTTTTTCAAACTATTTTTAAAAAACTAATAGGCTTAATGATTGTTTATACCATTACTATAGTTACACTATTAGTTTTAAATCTCATGCTGTGATTAGCAGTCCTTAATCTTCACTTCTTTGTGTTAAAAAGTTTAATCTACTCTTTGAATTAAAAAAGAGAGATATACACAATAATATTCTCATCTAGCATGTAAATTGGTTCAAATCACTCAAATAATGAATTATGGTGTTATAGTTCTTAAGTTTGTTGTATAACATTGCAATCTCTTAACAAGTATATTAAATTAGTTGCATTATTAAGTGGGCTAATTTTTAGTTGTTATGTAAATATATCATATTTTATATCTGTTAGTAACATCATAGATAAATTCTAGCTTAAATTTGATGACGAGGAACCCACTTTGAGACTAATAATCCTTGGAGATAGCTTGAATGGGTAATGAAGAAAAACGTTAATATAAGTTTAACACAACAGCAAATGTACGAGGTTTTGATGATGACAAAACCTTGTCAAAACATTGTACATTTGCTGTTATTTTAAACTTATATTAATGTTTTTCTTCATTACTCATTCAAGCCATCTCCGGGCATTATTAAATTCTAGCTTATATAATAAGCAGACAAATTTATTCTCAAAAACAGTGTAAACTGTAAAAAAGGTCAAACATGACCTTAAAAGTATAATGTAGAATTTCATAATTTGCATATGAAATCATTGTAATGTTTACTGATAAACTGCCAAATTTCGTTAACATTTGCTTACTAATTTAAAAGTTATAGCATGAAACTATAACAAGCACAAAATTGTTATGAGGTTGAAAGAGTTAAAATTATAATATAGAATTTCATAATAATGCAAACACAGTCAAAGCTAGAACTTTTACATGCAGTTGTAAATGTACGTGTGTGAATATTATATGTATGATGTTTCTAAAGTATGTATAGAAGCTGGTTTTTTAATTCAAATATTCTGTTCGTTCTTTAGATATCCTGCTCCAGTTATGAGACAGGTAGCTGAACTTTCTAAGGAAATTAACAGTGCAAAAGAGTTGAAGGACAAACGGCAAGAACGAACACAGATTCATTTTGTCATGGCAGATGAAGCCAAGAGGTCACAACCTGTTAAAGGTATATGTGAGTATTTGTTGACTCGTGTACTTGTATGATTTTAGAATTTCACCTGTTTATTGAATTCTGAAAGTCAGGTATCTTTTACACATGCAAGTTTCCATAAAAATGTTTTCATGGTTACGTTAGTCAAATTTGGGGTTTCTCTTAATGATAAAGTATTTCCTATTCATAATCTCTCAATGCTTTTGAAAATTTAGAAAACTACCAGACTTAATGGTGTTTATGTAAGTCAATGACTTGCTTTCTAGATTTCTTGCTGTTACTAAGGTATCCCCAGATATTTTTAAGACTACTTAGTGCAATACTAAAAAATAAATGTGAAGGCCAATCTAGAATTTGATTTACCACTTGTCACTAAGTTATAATGATTTCGAGGAATTCCATCCTTCATCAGTAATCCTAGACAAGGGCAAGTTGAATCTTAATTTCCAATATGATACATTACTTCTGCTCACGTAAATAGCTATTCTCATTCAATGCTGCCCTCTATATGGAAAACTTTTTTTTGTGCATACCACAAGCCTTGAGCTCCAACATACCTTACAATCAACTGGTTTAAATGTGTCTTGCATGTAAATCATCATGCGACAAACCAATAAGAGTACTGCACACACTCCTGATGCATGTGACTCCCTCTATTTAATTCTACCAAACTATCACTTGTCGTTTGAAAGTACTCATGTAAGACATTTTTGTAGTGCCCCTTAAATTTGTTCAACTTCATGGTTTTTATTATTATTCTGAAGTGGATTATTTTTTTTATTTACCCAGTTTTTCCTCTTTTTTTTTCTCTTCATGAAACAATTGTTTGATTTTCATTTTTACACAATGAATTCTGATGATCAGGTTACCATTTTGGAGATAATACCATCTACTACAGACTTGCACAGGAGACAGGTGGGGTGGGGGTGGGGACTCGATTTTGGACTTAATACTATCATCTGACAATAGATTAATCATTATATGAGTCAACCTGCTTCTCCTGATCTTGCCCCTATCCCTCCTGAACGTGCCGAACTAGTTCGGGTCAATGAGGATTTTGAAAGGCTTTTTTAGACCTGATTTTTCAAGTGTGTTCCATTTTATCCATTTCCTTGATTTCATATAATCCCTGTTCTTCTTTGTTACATGATATCTCCTCGTCTCACTATTTAGTTTCCCCCTTCTCTGGATATTAGGGTTTGTGCTGAGCATTTTGTTTCTCAAATGGTTGAGGGTACCAGCATATCTTGCCCTCCATGGGCTTCATAAGAGTTTGTCTTGTTCTACCATCAGGCTGAATGTATGCTTATCGATTCTCAACAGTTAGAATCGATTTTGCCTGTGTGGGAGGCAGACCCTGATCATCCTGTTTATTTATTCCACACCCAAGTTTCTCAACTTCATCTTACACTATCAACTCTCCAATGGTACTTTCCGTCTACCATCCACCTCCTTTCAAAGGAAATCCATAGAGATCCTGAGTGTTTTTTGAGAGATTGCCTATACCTATTTACCTCCATTTTGGCACGTTTGTCTTCTTCAGCACTAGCCTTACACACATGGTTTCTCTGTTTTTGGGATCTCCTGGGGAGAGATGCAGCTTTGTCCCAAGTTCATTTACTGCTTACTTATCTCCGGGTCTTTTCTACAGCAGTATGTTCTTAGTAATATTCCTGAGACTTTGGAATCCTGTGTGGAGTCGGTGTGACACAAACTACCCTTTCTTTGGTGGATCGTTTGTCTCATTCTCAGCCTAGACATGCTGCTATTACTATTTCCTGTCCAGCTCCTTCTCAGCCCTTACCTCCAAGGTTTTCTCATCTCATCGTTTTATTCAATGCAGATGGACACGTTGCCACAATGCTAGTGACTACCCCATGGGTTCCAGTCCAATGGGAGCTCACTTGACCAATTTTGTTCCCTTTTTCCCCACAGATCTGTGGGTTATTCGGGTATTATCTGAGGGACTTGTCATCCATTTTCTTTCCCCCTTCTTCCATTACCTCAAATAAACGTTTCCTTTCCATTGCCTTGGGATCCTATCACCAGTCAACATCTGTCTGAAGTGGTACAAGATCTTTTCTCCCAGCAGGCCATCAAACCTGTCAATCATTCTACTCCAGGTTTTTATTCCAGGCTGTTTGTGGTACCCAATAAAACTGGGGACTGGCAGTCTGTAATCAATTTGTCCCGCCTCAATCAGTTTTAGGTTCTACCCCAATTTCCCGTTGAGTCTTTTCTCACCCTAATGTAGTCTTTTTCTCTGGGTTTGTGGATGACCAAGGTCGACATTGCGAATGTTTACCAATATGTCCAAATATCTCATCAGTTGAGACACTATCTTTGGTTCATTCATCACAGGGTAGTTTATCAATTTCACAAGTTTTCCCTCGCTCGACCCACTGTTTCTCATATTATGGATTTCCTCACTTGTCTGTTTGATCAGGGGTCTTGTGGATGCTATCAACATCAGCTCCAATACTTTCCAACTAACATGACTTGAGTTTTGAGAAGTGGATCCAGTTTAGAAGAAACCTTTCTAGTGTAAGGTTCTGAATTAGTACCATATGTACTGCCTGCTGTTCTTTCAGTTGATGTAAAATGCTGCTCAAAAGTGTCCTCTTCTCATTCTAAACTAACAAACTTGAAATATTCCTGTTGCAAATATTCAAAGTCTTTCAAGTTGGAATATGCTTCACTTGCAGTTTCACAGACAAAGTTAAGATTGTGCGGGCCCGGCATGGCCAGGTGGTTAGGGCACTCGACTGACAATCAGAGGGTCGCGGGTTCGAATCCCTGTCCCACCAAACATGCTCGCCCTTTCAGCCGTGGGGGCATTATAATGTGATGGTCAATCCCACTACTCGTTAGTAAAAGAGTAACCCAAGACTTGGCAGTGGGTGGTGATGACTAGCTTCCTTCCCTCTAGTCTTACACTGCTAAATTAGGGATGGCTAGCGCAGATAGCCCTCGTGTAGCTTTGCACGAATTTCAAAACAAACAAACAAGATTGTGTGTAATAGATCTTAATGCAAACTTCACATCAGTAATTGTACTAAGAGTGTCCTGCTGAAGGTTTTTGAAAAGATTGTAACTTTTTGATGTCATCAATAAATGAAAACATTTTCTGGATTTTGTCATTTCTACAGGTGCCCACAACCACTAAATTTAAGTAGTGTGCAAAGCAGTACATGTAATATGCATTTGGAGCCCAATCTTTAGCCTGTGTCTATCATCCAGTGTAATATCAAAGCATAGTACAGTGGTTATCATATCTTTGACCTTGCACATTGCCAAATGTAAAACCATGGTTTCCAAAAAGATTACATTCCTACTATTTTTATCAGAACACACTGCTATGTAGAGTAAAAATTCAGTTACTACTATTTTCACTGGCATATCTAACAATGTTGGTCTTGTTTGCTGTAGCAGGTTGTTGTTTTTAGGCAGATGAAATAGGGCTTTGCTTTTTTAATATCATCTACAACAGCTTCACAAATAACCTCGGCACTAGCATGAATTATTTAATTTTTAGATGAAGGTGATATGTAACCAAGGTATCCATATGGACTAGCAAGGGCTTTCTATAGATGTTCAGCCATATCTAGATTCCAGCAAGCAATAAGCTCAGGAACCTCCGGAAGAACACCTCTGTTGCATGAGGATTAAGTTTCATTGTAACCTCGGGGAGGAAGTTTTAGATGGGCACCAAAGTATTTATGATACTGAATAACAAATATAAAAAATATTGTATCTCTGCCACCTGCCCTTGGTTCATATCATTAATTTTTTATTTTATTTCTTACTGAACATTGTATCTAGTGGCTCAGTTTTTTATTTTTTACTTTGACTTGAAACTTTACTGTATAACAGTTCATTCAATGTAAAAATGACAAGATATTGATAATATCCCAAATCTAATTCAGCTTTTTAAACTGAGTCTAAAGAATTTGGGGGGGGGGGGGGCTTGGGTCCTATCCCATTGATCATAATTATCTATGTTATACAAATACATCATGAAAGTGTTCCCTCAGAAATTTTAAAATCATACACAAGACCAAAATGCCAAATAATTATATCTTTTGTAATTTTTCTCAATAACTTTTGAAGGAATGTAAAGAGGATTTCATGAATTCTAAGCCATGGCTTCTATTATAATGTCTTACTTAAAACATAGATAAAATTCTGTAATTAGGTATAAGAAAATATATGTTGAATTAATTTATCATACTTTTTGATTTTTGAAAGAGTTGTAGATAATCAGTATGTTTTAATGAAATACACAAGTATTTACATGTGTGCAAAAAATACAAGTCTTCTGGCCATCACTATAAAGAAGGTTTTTCATTTTAGTAAAGCCTATGCTTTACTCCTGTGGTAAATACTATAAAGAAGGTTTTTCATTTTAGTAAAGCCTATGCTTTACTCCTGTGGTAAATACTATAAAGAAGGTTCTTCATTTTAGTAAAGCCTATGCTGGATTTACCACAGGAGTAACCTTTGTATACATATATTGAACTTACTTTGTTTTTAACATTTCATAAATATCTTTATCTAGGTTGATATTACTCAAATATAGGAAATTAAAGTATAGTTATTAAACGAAGACCATTTTTTTGTTAACTTAAAAGTTGCTGGGATGTATGTTTTTCCTATACACAAACATGTAATTCCTTAAGAAAAAAAGTTTGGTTACATAGGTATTTTTGTGATAGACAAAACTCCCTGACACCGTTAACAATAACTGTTATACAGCAATGGAGTTGTAACATTACATGGCAGCAACCACACACTGTACGTCGGCATGTAAACTCTAGTTTTAATTATTATAGTGCATGTTTATATGCATACACAAAGTTTTGCTAACAAGGATAGAGAAAAGTAATAACAAAGCCATTGTATGTTCCACAAAAACCAGGAACATAAAGGAAAGCTAACACTACCAAAGAAGAAGAAATCTCTAGAAAGTTTAATGGCTAAATGATACCAATAAAATAATGTAAAGATGAACATAACTAAAGAAAATTATCGACTACAATGCTGTTCTGATATGGTACGTTTGCCCAAGCATAGGTGTTCCAGAAGTTTAAATCTGAATATACTGCTGACTAGCTGTGCATTAAATTATCCAAAATAAGTGAAAACCATGCATTTTATATTCATGGGGAGTGGGGAGGGGAACAAATGCAGGTATTAAGCCATTCCTATTTTTCTACCCAGATTCCTCCTTTTTTTTTCTTTTGACATTCTTGTTTTTATATCGGTTAAGGTTGGCATCTGTGCTTATAATTATACAAAACAGTGTCTTTAATTTGAATTTGTTTTTTTAATTACAATCATTGTTGCTGAGACTGGCTAACATTACAGTGGTAATTTGAAATTTTTAAGATGTTTTGAACTTCAACTACATAGTTCATTATATTTTAGTAAAGTATACGTTGTTAGTTTATGTTAACTTAAATTCTAAAAATAATTTTTAATTGTGAATGTAACATCCAGCCTGTTTTATTGTGTGTGTGTGTGAAAAGCACATAAATTTTCTAACAGTGCACATGTCATGGCTAATTAAGTGCTTGCAAATAATTGTAATACGTAATAAACTAATATTTATATGTTTAATGTTTAGAAAAGGGTGTGTCTACATATATGTATCATTTAAACAACAAAGTATTTGTAAACATCTAGTTTATTGAAATAATACAGAGTGCAATTATACTTGGATAGTGTAATGTAAAATACATAAAGTGAACACAGAGTTCTGAAAATATCTGATGTGTGTTTTATGAAGCTAATGTTTTGTATAAGTAAGTAAGAAGACCAATGAAGCATAAGTAAAACTCTACAAGGCTTAAAGCAATGCCTAAAAAAATCACAAGAATGTTAATGAAAGTAAACTTCCTGTATATTTAGTTTTATTCTTTAGCTTAAAAAACTTATTAAAATAAAAACAGATGTACAAGGTCATGGAGGTCATAGTTAGGAGGTGGATCATATCATAAAATGGATTTGTAGAGAGCCACCTGGTGGAAAATTTATCAGTCGGAGATAAAATTTCAGCAAACTTTTGCAGATCTTTTTTAGGTCTGTAATTTTGAAGACTTGGTTATGTTTTTCTTTTGTAGGGTGTAAATGATGAACTATGTGTAATATTGTCTTGATTGAGTGGAGATGGTTCCTGATTGGTTAACTACAAGGCTTGTGATTGGCTGATTTTTGAGGAGTTTAATCCATAGATTGCTGATTCTTGAATCTCTCTTGAAGGGGTTCACTTTTTGATTATTGTGTTGTTTTATTTACAAGATAAAAACACATTAGTCTACAAAACTACAGACCTGAAGAAGATCATCATCTTAAACAAAGAAACCTTCTAGCAGTTGTAATAACATAATTCTTTTCTCAATGTTTCTTAAAAAGTTGGTTTTCTTCACTAGCTTTCCATAAATTCTACTTGTACTCATACTTTTCAAATAAGGATCTGCAGAGTTTAAGATCTAATAGTTTTTGTTTTTTTTTTTCATAAGAAATGTGCAATTTTATAGAGCATCAAACCATTTGATTACTAGCTTCACTGTTGAAGAATGTGTTGTTCTTTGTCTTCTGTGCATTATATTAATCATTTTCTATACAAACTCAGGGAAAAAAAATTCAATTACTGATAAGGAACTTTTTAAAAAATAGATGATATTTGCCTAGAGTATTATGTTTTCAATTTATGGTTTCAAATAGTACTTTTGTACGTATAAAATATTTCATAAAGTCAAAGTCATCATGTTATTTGTTGTTCTTGTTCATTTAAGTGAGTTTATACATTTAGAAAACTTTTATTTTGCTCAGTTTTATTGTTGAAATGGATCTGAAGCTAACACTTATTTTGCTAAGTTTTATTGTTGAAATGGATCTGAAGCTAACACTTATTTTGCTAAGTTTTATTGTTGAAATGGATCTGAAGCTAACACTTATTTTGCTAAGTTTTATTGTTGAAATGGATCTGAAGCTAACACTTATTTTGCTAAGTTTTATTGTTGAAATGGATCTGAAGCTAACACTTTTTTTAAGTTTTATTGTTCAAATAGATCTGAAGCTAACACGTACACAGCTTGATCATTTTATTTACATTTGTTTTAAAAAATTATTTAAATGCTACCCATAAAATTAGCATTTTTATAGTGTATTTCAACTCTCATTATCAATCTCATTTGTTTTTAAAATTGCTGTGTAACTAATACCACTAAGGTTTTTTTGTTGTTGTTTCTTCTGGGAGCCAAATGATATTAAATAAAACTATTCAGTTATATTATTGATCATATATTTGTATATACAATTAAATTTATAAAAGCTGACATTTAGTGAAAAACATCATCCAGATTATTTTATTCAACACTTGGTATTAATTATGCAATATGTGTAGTATTCAAATTCGATGACGAGGAACCCACTTTGAGACTAATAATGGCTGGAGACGGCTTAAATGGGTAATGAAGAAAAACTTTAATATAAGTTTTTCT